CAAAACCCCATCTATAGGTCACCAGCATCAAAGACCAAAGGGAGATAAAACCACAAAGAGGTGGAGAAACCGGAGCAGAAAAGCTGAAAATTTTAAAAACCACAGCGCCCCTTCTCCTCCCAAGGATCAGAGATCCTCGCCAGCAACGGAACAAAAAAGGGCAGAGAATGACTTTGACGAGATGACTGAAGTAGGCTTCAGAAAGTTGGTAATAACAAACTTCTCCGAGTTAAAGGAGGATGTGCGAAAACATCGCAAGGAAGCTACAAACCTTGAAAAAAGATTAGATGAATGGCTAACTACAATAAACAGTGTAGAGAAGACCTTAAATGACCTGATGGAGCTGAAAACCATGGCATGAGAACTACATGACACATGCACAAGCTTCAGTAGCTGATTCGATCAAGTGGAAGGAAGGGTATCAGTGATTGAAGATAAAATTAACAAAATGAAGTGAGAAGAAAACTTTAGAGAAAAAAGAGTAAAAAGAAACAAACAAAGCTGCCAAGAAATATGGGACTATGTGAAAAGAACAAATCTACATTTGATTGGTGTACCTGAAAGTGATGGGGAGAATGGAACCAAGCTGGAAAACACTCTTCAGGATATTACCCGGGAGAACTTCCCCAACCTAGCAAGGCAGGCCAACATTCAAATTCAGGAAATACAGAGAACACCATAAAGATACTCCTCCAGAAGAGTAACCCCAAGACACATAATTGTCAGATTTACCAAGGTGGAAATGAAGGAAAAAATGGTAAGGGCAGCCAGAGAGAAATGTCGGGTTACCCACAAAGGGGAGCCCATCAGATTAACAGCACATCTGTCTGCACAAACTCTACAAGCCAGAAGAGAGTGGGGGCCAATACTTAACATTCTTAAAGAAAAGAATTTTCAACCCAGAATCTCATATCCACCCAACCTAAGCTTCGTAAGTGAAAGAGAAATCAAATCCTTCACACACAATCAAATGCTGAGAGATTTTGTCACCACCAGGCCTACCTTACAAGAGCCCCTGAAGGAAGCACTAAACACGGAAAGGAAGAACCAGTACCAGCCACTGCAAAAACATGTCAAATTGTAAAGACCATCGATGCTAGGAAGAAACTGCATCAACTAACACGAAAAATAACCAGCTAACATCTTAATGACAGGATCAAATTCACACATGAAAATATTCACCTTCAATGTCAATGGGCTAAATGCCCCAAAAAGACACAGACTGGAAAATTGGATAAAGAGTCAAGACCCATCAGTGTGCTGTGTTCAGGAGATGCATCTCACGTGCAGACACACATAGGCTCAAAATGAAGGGATGGAGGAACACCTACCAAGCAAATGGAAAGCAAAAAAAGCAGGGGTTACAATCCTAGTCTCTGACAAAACAGACTTTAAACCATCAAAGATCCAAAGAGACAAAGAAGACCATTATAAAATGGTAAAGGGATCGATTCGACAAGAAGAGCTAACTATCCTAAAGATATATGCACCCAATACAGGAGCACCTAGATTCATAAAGCAACTCCTGAGAGACCTAAAAAGACACTTAGACTCCCAGACAACAATAATGGGACACTTTAACACCCCACTGTCAATATTACACAGATCAATGAGACAGAATGCTAACAAGGATATCCAGAACGCAAACTCAGCTCTGCACCAAGCAGACCTAATAGACATCTACAGAACTCTCCACCCAAAATCAACGGAATATACATTCTTCTCAGCATCGCATCACACTTATTCCAAAATTGACCACATAGTTGGAAGTCAAGCACTCCTCAGCAAATGTAAAACAACAGAAATCACAACAAACTGTCTCTCAGAACACAGTGCAATCAAATTAGAGCTCAGGATTAAGAAACCCACTCAAAACTGAACAACTGCATGGAAACTGAACAACCTGCTCCTGAATGACTACTGGGTAAATAATGAAATGAAGGCAGAAATAAAGATGTTCTTTGAAACCATTGAACATACCAGAATCTCTGGGACACATTTAAAGCAGTATGGAGAGGGAAATTTCTAGCACTAAATGCCCACAAGAGAAAGGAAAGATCTAAAATCAACACCCTAAAATCACAATTAAAACAACTAGAGAAGCAAGAGCAAACAAATTCAAAAGCTAGCACAAGGCAAGAAATAACTAAGATCAGAGCAGAACTGACAGAGACACAAAAAATCCTTCAAAAAAATCAATGGGCCAGGCGTGGTGCCTCAAGCCTGTAATCCCAGCACTTTGGGAGGCCGAGACGGGCGGATCATGAGGTCAGGAGATCGAGACCATTCTGGCTAACATGGTGAAACCTGGTCTCTACTAAAAAATATAAAGAACTAGCTGGGAGAGGTGGCGGGCGCCTGTAGTTCCAGCTACTTGGGAGGCTGAGGTAGGAGAATGGTGTGAACCCAGGAGGCAGAGCTTGCATTGAGCTGAGATTCGGCCACTGCACTCCAGCCTGGGTGACAGAGCGAGACTCTGTCTCAAAAAAAAAAAAAAAAAAAAAAACCTCCAGGAATCCAGGATCTGGTTTTTTGAAAAGATGAACAAGATATCCCTCTTTGGCTAGTTCACCTGGCTCAACTGATTGCAAGTACTTATCTTGAGAGGACTATGAAATTAAAACCAATACAAGTGCCACAAATAATGCACAACATTGTTAATAAGGACAATTTGTAGCTGAGTGAATGAAAGAAATCGTTCTATTCATCGCTTCCTCGTTTTCCTTAAATCTACAATCTCCAGATGTCACTACTGAATTCACAGCTCACAATTCCACAGCATTACCTGGGAGACACTGGCCCTTTTTCTTCCTCTTCTTCATGATCACTTTCATTTTCTGTAAATACATTCAGAGAAGCAGGTCACATTAAGCAATTCACACTTCACATATGACCAAATCACTGTCCAGTCATAGCACAAGGACCCAACTATTCTCAGGGCAAGAACATGGATTCTGACATGAATATTCTAGGGTGGTCTAGATTAAGTCTGGTGAGAAGTAGATGACCCTGCTTTCCAGTCCCACAGGCCAAAATTTCCCTCTGTGGGTAGACTATAATGCCATATTCCCTGCCTCAGTCTATGCAAAGAAAATAAAATTTTCCCCCCAAAATCGCCAAAAATTAGTCAAACAATTTTCTAGGAGTGTTGCTGCAATACTGACTTATATCATCAGGTACCATGGACATTAAATGTTCAACTGATAGACGCATTCTAACAACTCTTGCTTTAAAAAGAATCTGTGATTCGGGAGGCCAAGGCAGGTGAATCATTTGAGGTCATGAGTTCAAGATGAACCTGGCCAATATGGGGAAACCCCATCTCTACTAAAAATACAAAAATTAGCCAGATGTGGTTGTGTGTACCTGTGGTACCAGCTACTCAAGATGCTGAGGCAGGAGAATCACTTCAATCTGGGAGGCGGAGGTTGCATCAAGCCAAGATGGTGCCACTGCACTCCACCCTGGGTGACAGAGCAAGACTCCATCGCCAAAAAAAACCCACCACCGCCACCAACAACAACAATCTATGATGCTACGAAGAAACACTGGATCAGCTATTGCATTGATGGGGTGGAGAACCAGGGTCCAGCCTTGCTTTATGGAACTGTATCAGCAAACTAAACAAGAAAAGTTTCCGGCCACATTTCAATGTGACTGTGCAGCTAACCAAGCTGACTTAAAATAGATCAAGATTAAAGCTGAGAGTAGTGAAGCCTGGGGAGCAATATATCCAAATACAAAGGCAAGGCTGCTAGTCTCCTTCAAAAGGCATAGAAACTCCATGGACATTGTTCGGGGACACATGACTTAATCACAGGTGACAAGAGATACTGAATCGAAGCTAGGAAGCCTCACAGTTACTTCCCATGCACCTCCTGCACTCAGGTGACTATGAGGTTGTCACACCTGCCTGGGGTCCAGTAACTTCACACTGGGGACCGGGAGACAAAGGCATGACATGAGCTGAGAAGGACAGAAAACCTCCCTGATATCTGTGTTTAGAATCCCATCGCAGATTTTTATGTAAACCAATTTGTGTGTATAGCGTCTGTCTTCGGGGTTATACTTCCTCAGCACAGAAAGGAATGAGACACAAGGAAAATAGAGGCTACCTGGGATAATGGATACAGCATCCTCCCATTCATCTTGAGAGGATGAGTCAATGAGACGTGAGTTGACTTGGTCTTCCTCGAATGTGATTTTGGTGTTGCTGTGAGGCTGCTTGGACTCACAAGGACCGTGGCTATTTGAACAAGCGATGGAATATTCCTCCAGTGAGTCCTCAGGCTCTTCCTTCTCTTCAGCCTTCTGCACCTCCCTATTGAGCCAGGTGGGAGAGAGATGTCAGAAGATTAAACACAGAGGGATCGGACCCCAGGGAGCCCTAGCTGGTTTTGACAGAAGGCATTAAGACAGTGGTGACAGAAAGCAAACAGGAGGTTCCCTTTAAGAGGGAATAGGCAATCCTCTTCTCTCTGCCACAGAGCATGGCTGCCATGGGAGACAGAGAGGAAAAGACCAACCGGTGTTCATTTCACTGGAGAGATAGGAGCTGAGAAAGATGAAGACTCAGCTATCCCTG